AAAATCGTTGATTAACTAAGTTATCCTATCGTGAAGTCAATATTTAAGTAAAAAACAAAGCTTTACATATATATTTACGAATTTATTTATCTATGTACTCCCGTCCATCACATTACAATATAAATGTGTTACTGATATTAGTGGTAGTTTATAACTTTTCCGGTCTCTTTATCTTTTATTTCTGCTTTATTTAATTATTCTCATTGTAACTATTTTATCATATTTTTAAATATCGACGTTCCTAAGTGTACTATGTTATTTGATTTGAAAATAGAAATTTAATTTCGAAAGCTTTCGAAATCCATAGAAACGACTAGATTTTAACTAATTTCAGTAAATATACAACTAACAAGCCGTAATTATCAACGGCCCTAATTACACCAATTGACATCCTTTCCTCGACAAAAAACATTTCTTTAATAGAATTTAATAGTAGGGTTACGAAGACACAAAAAATGTTACCTACTTACTAGTGTGCCACTGTTGCTATTAAAACGTATTCAAGCCATGATCAGAATGCGTAGAATATTGGATCCATTTAATATATGGAATAAACTTTAAGTAAAGAATATTTTAAAATTATAGTAAGTAATAGTTAATAACAATAAGTGTTGCAATGTGGTGTGAGTTACTTTGATGAAGTCAATGTTAAAATTTCGCAAAAAAAATCTTTCTTCTTGTTTTTTCTTTTGACGAACGTGTGTAAGTCTACCAATGCCTAGTTGCGGCCAAGGCTTTTTTATAGTACTTTCCTAAATATGCGCTATTATTCAGAATTTTAAAATCAATGACGAAGTTGACGAACAATTAATACAATAGTTTTTTACGCGCCAAAGTATTTTTTTTATTTCACTAGACAGCTTTCTGTGCCAGCCAGTTCGAAATTTAAATGAAACCTTTTATAAGTAACCTCTTTGTTGGCTATGTAACGGAGTAGATCGTTCCATTTTTCAATTGCCCGACAAATATGGTTTACATAGTAATTTTTAGTGGATTTTCATACAACTAGTGCCGGCCGTCGCTCGTTCATAACAGTAACTCGAAAAAATTTGTCAAAATAATGCTCAAGTTTCCAGGCATGTTTGAGAAAATTAAATTAATATAAATTTGTCATAATTGTTTTTCATTGCGTTATGTTTTATTAAAATTCATTTATGAATTTCTACATGGCACAGTAACACACATCCATCCGTCCTCATAAACCATTACATTTACATTAAAATATATAAATACATAGTTAAATGGAAAAGGAGGTTATTTTTTAAAGATTTCTTGAGTTGTGAAACAGTGTTACCAACTGCAATTATTTCTATTACATGTTATTGTTAATCTATCATTCAATTAAGACCGAATACGCTATACGTAAATGAAGTAAGTTGAAAGAATGTAATAAGGCATATTTCCATGCATATCAGATGACGGAATTCCAGACATCGGCCAAGCGTTCCGTCCTAAATTGCTCCTATTATTTTATAATCCCTCCTAGTTACGTTTTGAATATTAATGACATTCCGCAGCTTTTTCCTTTCTACGAAACCGTTCTATAAAGGAAAATTAGCGCTGAAACAAATTCTTTCTTCGTAATTATAAAATAATTTTCTCAGTTAATTCGTGATTGAATTATAAAGTTTAATAATACACGCGAATAGAACACTAATTTCCAATTTATTGTCATCATCTGTTTTCTCCTTATCTTTCTAACGGCCTGTGCCTTAATTTATACTGGCCAAATGTCTATAAACACTTGACAAATAACATCTAATTTTTGCCGGTATACTCCCTTAACAGAGAGTATTTTGGTGCAAGGTCCATATTCAAACTCCCTACCTACAGATTGGAAATCGCTATCATGCCACTTCACCAAATTATGATATCTTAATTGAATCACGCCCTTAAGGTTTTAAAAGACCAATTTAATTAAAGTGTTCACCCGCAATGGTTTAATATAATCGTTAGGCGCGACTACCCCGTAAGGTGGATATAAGTTTTTTATCAGGCCGATAAAAAACCGACACACGCGCCTTCGAAATCCGATTAAAAAAGGGTTTAAGACGCGTGCGCCGAGAAAAAACTGTCGGGGTATCGTATAACCCTAATTCTGAAGGATATTGATAGAGCTATTTGAACGCCTTTAAGGCTCAAAACGAGCGATTGTTTCGATATCGACTAATTGGATCATACGGTAATCGATAACCGTTCTGTTGCGACCTGCAATGTGTTTCTACATCTGCCGCTTTATGTAAACTAGGTGCGCACGCGACTACGTTTGTGTGGAACTAAAGTCACTATGACTTTAGTTTTTTGTTTTTTTGGGAATACTTTGCACATACCTTACACGTAGGTACGTGTAAGGTATGTTTTATAGTTCTTAACTTTATAAGGTGGGTGCCGGAGGTAAACTTGTTTTAATAAAAGAAAACATATATTGTACCCACTACAACCGACAAATTTGGTAAATTTGAGAAGAGATCTTGACGAGATAAATCATTCTAAGTCCATTTGATATTTTGCGTGTCTATTTTTTTTTGCAAACCTCCTGTTCAACTCTATACATTTAAGCTATTACCCATGACGTCTTCTGCATCCCGTCGTTCTTGCAACTTAAGCTTACGAGATAGACATATACTGTACCCACAAAGATGAATAATTTTCTCAGTTTTTTCGACATTTTGCCGCTGAACCTTCGCTCCTATTACTCACAGCGGTCTGTTCTATAGCCTTCCTCAATAAATGTTCTAACACAAAATTTTTCAATTTGAACCAGTAGTTCCTGAGATTAGCGCGGTCAAACAAACGAACCAACTCTTCAGCTTTATTCATTAGTATAGATACAGACGCGTTCTTTAACTGTTGTATTATAGTATAGGTAAATGTTTTCCGTTACAAATTTAAATGTTCAATTTATGCACTGATTTATTTGATAAAGTGTATAAATTATCTTGGTATTTACGAAAGTGTTACGTAAAGACTATTGACACTTCTATTATAATAGTCGTTAATCATGCTTTGGTAACGACTTACCAATTAACTATTGACGAAATATTGTATAACGCTGTCTATATCCTCTTTATTAACGTGTTACATTAAAAATTAACATGTGATATTATTAAATTTTAATAGAAATGTAGTTTTGTACGAATGTTGATGTTATGTAACATAGATGTGGAATAAGTCTGCTATGCTGAATCAAGAATAACTGTATGTTAGTTGCGTCATTTTAGTTTTTTTTAACAGACAAGATGCGCTGTCGTCCTATTTTTGGCTTTGGAAATTGGTAAAAAATGCAATTAGTGTTTTCCAAAACCCGTTATAAATATTTCTTAAGACAGTTCTAATTTAAAAAATTATCGAATGTTTTAATCCTAAACAGCAGGTGAGGTAAAAACCGTGTCCACAAAAGGCTGTTGGTGTATCAACTGTCATGGTTATAAGATTTTTTTAAACAAAAAATAATATCAGTCATTAGAAAAAAGTAATCGAACTATCCCCAAAGTCACGCATAGTGCATAGGAGAAAAAAAAACACAAAGAAATAAAAGAAAAAAGTGAAAGGGTTGAATTTACCTACCTGACTGAAGGGTTTAAGTTTAACAAATGTATGCTCAAAAGCTCCATTCAATTATACAGTTTAATGTTAGGCATATAAAGCTTAAAATGGCTTAGTAATATTTCAATGTACTAAGTTGTCATTATTGATGGTAATGGTTGAATAAATGACGCGTCCGGTGCACAAGTGCATAGAAAAACAACAATGGAAGGGTTAGGGATAGTTTTAATAGAATAATATCCGTGTAAACATCGTATAATTACTTACATTGTATCTAAAGGGTTGTATGTTTACGCTGGTTGGTCTTTTTTAGGTTAGAATTACAATAAGTTACACATTTTACTTAATAAATTGATTGACAAAGATAAAAGAAAATTATTTTATTAAATTAATTAAAATTTAATTACTTTTACATAAACATGGCCACAAGGCAAAGTTTTTGTCTTTAAAAAATTCGATATTTAAATTCTTAATTGCGTACGAGAACTATTATACAGTAAACCATAAATTGTCAGTGGCGTTAAATAAAAAACGTTAACAATCAAACCATACCCTTTTATTGCGGCCGATTGTAAAACTGATAAAAGGGATGAACGTCGTTACTGTCCGCGGAACTAATTTATAAATGATTGAGATTTCATTTTTTCACAATTTAGGGGAAAGTGTAAGAGCGCCAGATGCAATTAAAATATAGAAATACATCATCTAAGCATTGTCTGCAGCTTACGCGAGTAGTGCACGTTTTAATTCACACTTTGTTACCTTGTAATGACATTTGCTAAGATCCTAACCATCGGGTCGTAGTTGAAATAAGTTAATAATGAGTTTAGCGTATACTTCACGTTTTAAGCCGTTAAAAGTGATTTATCATTATTGAAATGAGAAAAGTTTAATATAAATTTTTCATATGGAAGAAGAGATAATCTAATCATAAAAAAAGATTTTAAATGCTTTCCGCTTAATAAATTTTTATAGACATAGGTAGCTGACAATTGTGCAGATTATAATCGATTTGTTAGATAGTAGCAATCCCTTTTATACATTGACCAGCTTCTACCATAAAAACAAGCGTTTTATTTAAGGCTCTTAAGTTCCTTTTTATCTCAATAATTACTTATCATTTCCTCAAACTGAACGTTTCATACATCACAAAACACCGTCGTTAAAGTCCTAATAATAAAAGATAATTTTACCCTAATTTTAGGATTTCAATTTCAAAGCTCCTTTTTTGTGTAATAACGGGAATCGATCGACGCAAACTAGTGATTACGATTTTTCAAAAGCACCCCTTTCTGACCCACTTTTTACCCGTTTTTAACTATTTCCCTCTTCAAAAGCTCCCATTCAAAGGCCGGGCGTGAACGAGTTGATGATATTAGAGTTTTTTGCGAAAAAATTCACGAACAATCTACGGTATTGCTTAACAACAAAACGGCGATGTTGCGCTCATTGTGTTACTTTTTTGCGGGATCGCGTGCGCCTGCGCGTCGGCGGGCGTCCTTGCGAACCCTTCCTGGAGCGCGGATTGAACTTGGAACCCTTCCCGGTCTATGTGCGAGGGTCGCCCGCCGCTGAATAGCCGGTTTCCAAAATGTCACGATAACTTCACCCCTGGTGAGCACATACGACCTTCTGTCGCGGACGCTTGCAGCTCGCATGTGTGCCTCCCGACAGCTGCATCTAGTTTTTGTACATACGCTCTCATATTTTTTCATAATGGCGATCTCGGTTCTGAGCGCACCCTTGAAACAGTTTGCGTAATCGATGACAAAACTAAACATTCCGCCCGATGATTTCCGTATTTTAGGATAAAAATGAACAATGCTAAATGTAACAATGCATTTTAATAGATAACTATAATTAAGTTCTTGCTGTATGTAAAAGGGTATCAGGAAGTATCGACATATAAGTTTTTTTTTAATTCATGAAAATGTCCTTTAAATAATTTATTCTCTCAACACTTTTGAACTTTAGAATAAGGATTGATGTGTGATAAAAGGCCTTTTTAAACCCACAAAACCTTTGATGTACCCAAATTGTTTTAACTATGTGTGTATTTTTTAAAATTAAATGTATATTAGACATTAACATGATTTTTTGCATACTATAATTTAGTGAGATAATTATCAAACTCTATACTATTTACAATTCAATACACCAGAATAATAAAACAAGGATCTCAGATGGGTTTCACAGATAACAACGTTATTGATATCACCTCATATTCCTTTATTTTCACACATCTATAATTTATGGACACTAATAAACAATGTGTCGACACGTAATTTTTCTGAATTAATTAAGCATTGTTCAAGCAAGCCCTGCAGTAAAGATTGTAAAATCAATTTGAATATAATTCAAATTTGTGGAAATAAACCAAATTCTATCTCGTCCCATCGCAATTCTTGGAATCAATCGAAAAACTTTTTATTCTCTTCTCTTAAGATCTATTGTATTTGAACCCAAATAAATGTTATTGTGATATAACCTTTTTGCCTCTGTAGCTAAATGGTTAAACGTGTTGCAGTGCGTTAAGGGCGAGAGGTCCTAGGATCGTATTCCGGTGAAACAATAAATTGTTTAGGTTTCAGAACACAGAAGTCTGAACAAATACTTGCCTATAAATTGAACGGACACAGAAATGTGTTCGCCCGAAGACCCACAAAACCAAATATTTTTTTCATAACTTCAATGTTATTTTATCCTGTTACACCGTTCTAGAACCAAGTATATTTCCCGTTTCAATACTAAATATTAATATGTATTGGTATTTTTGATTTTCCGATAGCAAATAAACCTCCCATGCAACGAAAAATATGTTCGACCCAACAATGATTTCTTATTTACTCGAAGAAGCCCGTAGAGTTTATTTCACCCCAAAAAGATCACAATAGTCCCATTGGTTTATGCAAAGTAACGAGCCTGTATGCAATTGTCCACTTTTTGAAAGGGACGGCGAAGGGAGACTTGCGAAGGGTCGTTCTCTCATCTGCAATTCTATGGTCGAAACTGTGGACATCACGAAGAACATGTTTTTGGGCAGTGTTTCAAATAATAATACATAGGTCTTAATAAAACAATCTATTTCAGATTGAAAAAAAATCACGACGTGGGTGAGACTTGAACCGGCATCCATAGCGTTACGTCGTTTAAATAAAACACTTTAACGGTTTAAAACGCGAAATATAGTAGTTAAACTTATTAACGGATAATTTTAACTATGACCCGACGTTTTGGATGCTTTGCAGCAGCCGTGGTCAATGGAAGACTGCCACGTCTGCTGCAAAAAATATAAAAAGCGTTTTAAACTACTTGCGTAAATCTAAAACCGATGTTTAATTTATATAATGCTATTATGTGCAATAACATGTAAAAAAAATTAAAGATTCAATACATAGTTGTTGACTCTGTAGTTGACCACCTCCGTAAATATTGAGTTAAAGTACCCCACCCGTGGGGTAGTGACTTCGAATCCCGGGGAAATAATTAATTTCTGCAGGGCATGGATGTCTCATTCACTACTTGTCTGTTAATAAAATTAATGAAATGGACAGAGAAATGTGTATTTCACGCACGAAACGCGACTTACCACCTTTTTAATATCTAGATTTTCAAATTATAAATTGATTAGGAAATAGGAACATATCAGACCTGGTTTTTACCCATTACCCGTTGATTATAAGCCGAACATTGCTTCCATTACACCAACTGGCACGTTGCATGATCATTATATACACTAGACCTTTTATTAATTTTGTAAAACACTTTTCCAATAGGTACTATAAGATTGCCTTCACCCTGGGTTCGAATCCCGGGAAAATAACAGTTTCGATCGGGCAGCGCAAACAAGAGACTCTTTTCTATTTTTGAATACCGAAGTGTTCATAATACAGTAGTAATATATAATATAATTATATCCCGATGTTTCCTCATCCGATATAAAAACGGAACGGATCCTGGCCCGGCGAAGGTTTAGAGTGTATTGATTGAAAAGACACAATTAAACTTAGAGTTAGGTAACTGCGCGCGTTGAGTCACACACGCGTATGTAGTAGTTTAACCCCACGAAACTTTCATCTCTGAGACCCTCCGACCGCGGGGGCCCTCCCCACGAAGGGAGTAAAAACTTGGAACTTCACCTCTTTCGCTGTCACCCTTCGATTCGACTACACTGTTTTATTTACTATATCAGTAAGTACATAATGGTTATGTGGGATGAGATTTTCGTTAATGTTAGATACACTAAATGAAAATGGAATAAGAAAGAATTGATCAGCATTTTCCTTGATAAAGGATTCGCAACATTAACAATATGCCATAAGTAAACAAAAATCTCAATGTTTACTTAAAACCTTAAACCTACTAAAGAAGGGTTTCTGCAAGTAACCCGGAGGCAAGTATAATAAAAAGCACTTCAAAAAGGGTGTAATTTAGAAGACACAGACTGTCAGTTTGGTGACATGTGCTGAGAGTATAGACTGTAAGAGTATACCGAGCTTTAACGACGTCTGTGGCACACACCAAACAATAAAAAATCCCCGACTCAAATCGTACGCGTGCTCATCCGACACGCAACAATTGGAATGGGGACACATTTAACTTAAAAAGTGAATTTATTTTTAAAAAATATCCTTCCCCCGTTAAACAGTCGTTTAAAAAAGCCGTACGCGTCCCTCAGCGCGAGCCGGCTGAAGATTTGAAGCGCTCGCGCATGTGTTTTTAATCGCCCCTCGGATTTTACAGTTTTCACCAAAAAAAGATTCCGTACTCAGTGCGCCGGCGATCGATAATGCGATCAAAAAAACCCCTCCGAATCGTTACACGCATTGAACGGACAGTGAAGAATAAAAAGGACTTCGAGTAGACAGTACCGCACTTTTTCAACGACAGTGGGGTCGGACGGCTGGACGTTATAGTCGTATAAGCTCAACGGTTTTTATCTGACCCCCAATTTACAACACGAGGGACACGTCGTACCTCGACGTCTTAGCGTGTGTAGAATTTAATGTAAATGTGGTACAAAAATGGGAATTTTAATGTGCAGCCCTTAGTGTCGGCCCTTCGTATAAAATTGCCGTTAATACCGGTTCCTGAATAATAGCCTCTCATCTTCATCTTCTCAGTGTTGAGAAAAACCTTCGATTTCTATGCGATTGGCTACACACAAAAACAAGTTATTTATCGAACTGCTAGTAATTATAATTATCATTTAAGTTCTGTTTACTATATAACAGATTTTCTTCGTTTGATAATATTTTGCATACTTTGATATTTACAAATTAAAAACTTTATTATTCACCTATAAACAGACGTAGTTTTACAAATGCATTATTTCAGTTTCAAGCGTGTGTAAATAATATAGTATTTTATACGATTGCAAGTAATATTATATTTAAACAATGGAGTAAATAGTTACAGATGGAGAATTATATTCATAATATTTTGCGTATAATAGGTATTAATATGTGGAGTAGTAAGTTTTAGGAAAAATCCTTTATGATCCTATCTTAATTTTGAGTAAAAAAAAAAAATAAATAAATATGTTTATTGTTCTTAATTCAAGCAGGGGATTTTTTGAACTCTCAAAGTTCATTGTAAAGCTTTTAAAAATCACTACTATTTGTTATTTATATATACGTAACTTTGTGCGACAAATTGTACAATTAATAAAATTCATATCATCCGAACTCAAAATACGTCGAAATCTTGGTAAGATGTTATATGTGTAGAACACTATATTTCTATTTCTTCCTATATCAATAATAAAGTTGAAGTTAGTACTTTTAAGCCAACTGATCACCCGAATGTTGCGTCGCACAAGAAATTATCATGATGTGAGTTTTCCTCTGGGTATGGCCTGAGATATCGGCAATAAATAAAATTGCCAAAAAGCATTCGGCGGGCGGCCAGTGGGCGGAAACGGCTAAAAAAACCACCGAGAATCGTTTCTAGTGACCCCTCGTCAGACACTGCTGTTTTCCTCGATATCTATAATTTATTACGTCCCAACTAGAAGGGCATAATCCACACACAAAAATACTCCTTTCAAAATGAACTTGTGTATGTATTTATACACATTAGGTCTAAAACTTTATTTAAATACTTAACGGATTATAACGCAAAATATTAAATATAAATCTTTATTTCAAAAACAAATACCTCGATAAAACAAAAAAATTTGAATGTTTAAAAAACTATTATAAATTATTTTAACTATGGTCCGACGTTTCGGATGCTTTGCAGCAACTGTCAAGTCCCCGTGGTCGCCGCACGACCATTTCGCTGACTACAGTATTAAAGAGATTACATTCATAAGACAAGTTCTATTTCCTACTTAGATTACAACTAATATAAAATGAAAACTTCTAAATTCGTAGCAGTCTAATTATTGGAAAGCTAGTTTGTAATTAGATATTGCAAACTAGACTTTACATATGAGAAGTAAAAATAGCGGAGTGTTATTCATGTACAGTAATAAATAGTTTATTTTATTGATACATCATAATATCTATAACACAACCCCAGTCCGATCTTAACGAGATATGTTATAGTTTTAGGGCGCTGGTAAGGGGTAGCGAGACGCGGTGGAGACGCGAAGTCGCCGCGGCCGAAAACCTAAAGACCATTGGGACACAGAATGATAATAACAGTAGGGACTGACCACGCATCTCCCCCCTCAATGCTTAATATAAAGAAGATAACGGGATTAATAATAATGTTACGTAGTAGTAAGAGCGCGTAATATTGGACAATTTTTTGGTTTCAATAAAACTCTTTAACG